TCTCTTGATTCAAGACCCTTGCCAGCAAGTTATAACCCAGAGTAGTAGGGTTAGGCCAGCTATTCCTCATTTCTAACAAACTGTTAGGAAGGTCTGTGTCCTTTAGTGAACCAAGAGAAACTCTGACCTATACGCTCGATCTGTTTCAAAGGTACAGAAATATCTAAAACAAATTCCTCAAAGTTCAAAACGAACCCTCAGGAGGCGCTATCAGCTGCTACAATTGCTTCAGATTTCTCTCTGTAGAGAATTCCTAAATCCTAAATCCCGGTGACTGGAAGGAAAAGCATCCATCATTGAAAGATTGAAAGCTGGAATAAAAGACAAGCAGTTACTAGCATAGAATTGAATAAAATTTCTGAAGGTCAATGGCTTTCTGACCCAATAAACTACAACAAAATGGATGGCAACCATATTGGTCCTTAAATGTGACAAAATTATGAACGTTTAAGTTTATTAGATCTTTAGCTGATTTAACTGCATTAAAATTGTTTGGCAACAAATCGTATATTAATCAGGGGACTTCCGGCGTACATACAATAGTAAAGATTGTATTCCGTCAAAACAGTCGACCAGGGCATTTATGAAAGATAAAGTTTTTAAGACAAGAGTCTCTGTAATTATAGTGCTCGATATCAAGAGATAATTGCAATAAATCTAAGTAAATGCACACCTATAAGTGAAAGTGTCAAAAAGGTCTGAACATATATATATATATATGTAAAATTATATAGAAAATAGGAAAAAAACTCGTTAGGTAAATAATCCAAAGTTCTTTAGTTCTTCTTATTATTTTTCAAAATAGTGCTCGATACAAAAGTAGAGCATAAATATAATTGTTTATTTAAAAATATGATTATTTATTTAAATATATATATATATATGTGTGTGTGTGCGTGTGTGTGTGTGTGTGTGTGTATATTTAAAAATATACATATATATTTAAAATATATATATATATATATTTAAAATATATATATATATTTATTTAAAATATATTTATATATTTAAATATATATATATATTTATTTAAAATATATTTAAAATATATATATATATTTATTTAAAATATATTTAAAATATATATATAAATATTTAAAAATATATATATTTAAAAAATATATATATATGTGTGTGTGTGTGCATGTCTGTGTGTGTTGTATACAGGTGTATCAATAATATTTTTACAAAATTTGGGGCGGGTTCATCGCATCAAAATAAGGACAAAAGTTCATATAAACATGTCTGCAAATCCTTCGTTTTTGAGTTATTAAGTTAAAAGAACTTTACGGTCGATGGAGCTGTGCTGCTATGCAGATTAGGATACATTTGTCATTCGTTTATATTTGTGGCTAGTCTGTCTTCTATGTTCTTATCGTCCAGGTAAGGACCAAGGAAGAACAACACGGACACAAGAGTAGAAATAACGAAGGTATATTACACAAAATAATAATACAAGAGGTGGAACGTGTTAGTATGACGGCTCGACTCGATTCGGTATCTAGCCACCCCACCACGAGGGTTGCATGTGGCACAAGACCGAGTTTAACGTAAATGCCCGTAGAACCCGTATAAACGGGATCGGGTTGCTCAACCTCCCGGAACGAGACTCTGTCCTTCGGCGGAGCCTCGTCCGGGTTTCTCTCCGCTCAGAGGCAGAGAGCTCGACCCTCCAGCCGAGAAGCTCGGCTTGATTCGGTATCTAACCCCCCCCCCACGAGGGTTGCATGTGGTACAAGGCCGAGTTTATCGTGGGTTTCCCGAGCCCGTAGGCTCGGCCAAAAATGCCCGTATAACCCGTATAAACGAGATCGGGTTGGTCATTTCTCCCCGAACGAGACTCTGCCCTTCGGCGGAACCTCGTCCGGGTTCCTTTCTGCTCAGAGGCAAAAACTTCGACCGTCAAGTCGAGAAGCTCGGCTTGATTCGAACCTCTCTCTTGAGAGGCGTAGTATACATAGTGTTATGAAGAGTTCATTCTGTAGTTATAGGTAAGGACCCATGACATAGGTTTAACGTGTGTAGTAGTGAGTTAACTGAGAAGTTAACAATGGCAGGATATTCATATCGTGAACCGGCAGATATAACTTTTGCTTACACCGGCTCCAATGATAATGGACGCGAGGCTGCCGCCCGCATTAGATTGTGTTTCCTGAACGAAAGCAGCCGAGTCATCTAACACCCATCGTCGCATTGCTGAGACAGGATCCGTGCCACCACAATCTATGGATTGAGGACGATCGAGATTCGCTCGTATGTCTGACCCCGAAGTACACATTCTACAGGCTGTAGCAGATGATGCAGGTATCAGCACACATCAAGTGCCCCTGGTATGTCGTCCATCGCACAGTACCGCATGGAGGGTACTTCAACAACATCTCCTGTATCCGTATCATTTTCAACGTGTTCATCGTCTTTCTCCCTCTGATCACTCGACAACGGACCTACGTTTGCCGATGTTTTATTACACAAACTACTGCCGATTTCTTGTTTCTCTTCTGTCTTGTTTACGGAGAAGGTAACATTTGGAGGAAATGGAATAACAAATTTACACAACCAAAATTTTTGAGAGAATTGGAATCCCCATAGTACAATACAGGCTAAACAGCAGCATCAGTTTACGATTAATGTGTAGGTGACTCTCTGTTAGGTCCATATGTTCTGCCAGCACGTCTTATTGCCTACAGAGACTTTATTTGGAAGTCACTTCCAGACCTGCTAGAGGATGTATCCCTGCTAATACAAAGGCGCATGTGGTTTATGCCTGATGGGGCGCCACATTTTTGGGTGGGAGGAATCCACCCCTATAATTTGTCAAAGGTATTTATGACACAACCTGTATATATATATATATATATATATATATATATATATATATATATATATATATATAGGGTGTCCCAAAAATAATGTATACACCCATAATCGTTATAACTTATTCAATTTATGTATTTTGACATGTCAATAAGATTAATACAAGAGAAAGAATACACATTTAAAGAATTTGAGATTAAAATATACAAAAACCATAGAAAATTAACTTTAATAAGCTAAAAGCTACTTGGGGCTATGGCAAAATGTTCATATAATGATGAGTTCACATCAAGTGCTCAAACTGGTTGCCGTTTTGTTCAATACACTTTTCATATCTTGAAGAAATAGACCTACAAACGTCCAGTATCATTTCCTCTGATATTTGAACACAATCTTCTTCAATTGCTACTCTCATTTCAGCAATTGTTTCAGGTTTCCTGCTGTAAACTTTGTCTTTTAGAAACGCCCCCACTAAAAAGAAATCCAAGGGTGTCAAATCTGGTGATCTCAGGTGGGTATTTAACTGTCCCTCTTCTTCCAATCCATCTGTTTGGCATATTTTCATCCATATAAGTTCTCACATCACGGTAGTGTATTATTAACTATTAATTTTTAAAGAGTATATACATTATTTTGATAGATCTTTATATATATATATATAGAGAGAGAGACAGACAGACAGACAGAGACAGGCAGACAGACAGATAGATAGATAGATAGATAGATAGACAGAATAAGATAAGACAGAATTAGATAGATAGATAGATAGATAGATAGATAGATAGATAGATAGATAGATAGATGACATGTTCGCTTATGTCAGATTTCCCAAATCATGTGACGTGAAGAATCTCAGTCATTGGGCGTTGTTCTTGGGCTAAAGCTTCCCCCATCAGTGGGATGGGTATTTGCATCGAGTCACCATATCCAGATAAATTACCGGCCCTGGTTGACAAGCTTCTATCTGTGCCATTAGCGCACGAATCAACTTCTTCTCCTAGAAAGTTTGCCAACTAAGGCTAGAAATCCCGGTCTACACCGCTATTTAACACATAACTGGTGAAGATATGAAGAGAAGGATTCTTACTTTTTCCCAATTGTACGTGAAAAAAAAAAATGAACATTATGGATTCGAACTCGCTTCCTCGATATCTGTTTTCTAAAAGCTAATTATTGCAATAACCCCACATCCACTTATAGTTGTTATTTTCTGTAATGGAAAGACAAGCCAGGATTTGAACCCATGATAAATATCATGAAAACTTAAATCCACAACTGTTTTTTTTAAAAAATATCTCTTTATTGCACATCTCTATGTGTTTCTTTCGTTTGACGATTTTATGAATATTATTTGTATTACCTTTTTTCTTAAAAACGTCAAAAGGTCATCCATGTTCCAGAACGGAAGAATCTTCTATTTTTATTTTTTTATTTTTACTTTTGTGCTCAATTTTTAAAGTCTCGATTTCAAACACAACAGGAAAATAAAACATTATGCCTTCTCTTCTGCAACGGCTCATTTCTCATAAAATCTTTTGTACTGAACGTTTGAAAGGACCGTGTATCGACTGCCGCACGCCATTTACGAAGCTGGCGAATTCATCAAAAGTGATAATCTATAAACGAGGAATATCAAGTAAAACTGAATGCTTGCTCCAAGTCATTAAATAATAGGAATCATTTTTCCTGAAGAAATTCATGTCAGTTGTTGAGAATAAAGTTTCCCTTTGTCACCGACTATAAAATCTGAACTATTGCCAGAACGTAATCTTTCCAATGCTTCTCGTTATAATTTTTCTTTTCGTCTCAGGTCAATGGCGAAACTGACGGCTCCGTAGTTAAAAAGCGTCGATAAGGTCCCAGTCTATATGGTTATGTCAAATTGTCCCTGTAGATTAGGAAGGCGCTAAATGACTATAATCTTCAGCATCGAAATTAAGCCACGTTACTATTAATAATAAATGAAACGGGAGGAACAAGACGAAATAAAATCATGCGAAATAAGGCCGTTGTGTATGGCCTTTTGTCACTTATTGGTCGTGTTCGTGAAAGGCATATCAATAAATCGATTTTCGATTCAGATATGTGGCGAATGGCCAAAGAAATTAAGCACGGTTCAAAGTTTTTCATCAGAATTTCTTCCAAATTTGGCATTTGGCATTTGTTCTGTTGCACGATATTGTGACATGAGGAAATTTAAGAGAAAATTTAATCAATTCTATCTGCACGATATTATGAACATGAGGAGAATCTTCTGTTCATATCTATTGATATATCTAGAGAAATATCTATCTACCTAGTCTGTTCATATCTATCTATCTATCTATCTATCTATCTATCTAGCTAGCTAACTATCTATGAACCTATCGCAGTCTGTTCATATCTATCTCAGTCTGTTCATATCTATTGATATATCTATCTCAGTCTGTTCATCTATCTATCTATCTACCTATCTCAGTCTGTTCATATCTATCTATCTATCTATCTATCTCATCTATCTATCTGTTCTCAGTCTGTTCACATATCTATCTATCTATCTCAGTCTGTTCATATCTATCAGTCTCTATCTATCTATCATCTATCTATCTATCTATCTATCTCAGTCTATCTATCTATCTATCTATCTATCTATCTCAGTCTATCTATCTATCTATCTATCTCATCTATCTATCTATCTATCTCTCAGTCTCTTCATATCTATCTATCTATCTATCTATATCTACCTATCTATCTATCTATCTGTTCATATCTATCTATCTATCTATCTATCTATACCTATCTCAGTCTGTTCATATCTATCTTCTATCTATCTATCTATCTATCTATCTATCTATCTATCTATCTATCTACGCCAAATTATAACTGACAATGGTAGATCCATAACGCTCGAACAAAAGTTATATTCGTTATATACAGAAATTCATTCATATATATATATATATATATATATATATATATATATGTGTATTTAGACAGCAATCCGTTTTTTACGCAATCTTCATTAAATATAACTGATAAGGTGGTTTGATTAAGTTTTTACATAATTTCTCACATAATCTTATAAATTCCTTATTCTTTTCCGTAGATAAATTATTAAAAATCAGCCCAAATATTTCGGTTTTCCAAGCGCTTTCAGCTATACCTTTAGCCATTATCAATTACTGAATTATATTTACTGTTAACTGAAAATGAATTGTTGTATGTATTTAGCTTTATAGAATGTTTTAGTTTCAAAACACAGTCAACATATATCGTTGATATTATTGAGTGTTGGCTATTTTGCTCTTATTAATAAGGCCTCTATTATTTTTAGCCTATTTTTACATGTAGACGATGCTATTTTATTTGTATTATCATGAATCTTATATATATATATATATATATATATATATATATATATAGATAGATAGATAGATAGATAGATAGATAGATAGATGTGTGTATGTATGTTATTATTACTATTAATTAATTAATTAATTAAACGTTGTTTTTTGTGGATACCCATATTTTAGTAGACGATTAGTTTATATATTAAACAGTACATATATTTATTTATGTCTACTGGCCTCAGTATTCGAGAAATCTTATTAAACAAAACTATGCGCTCACTGCTATGAATCGAACCTGCGTCCATCTTGGGAGGCGAAACCGTCCTTAGAACCGACGTGCTTTAGACCGAAATTAAAAATAAAAAAATAGCTAAAAATTACGTTTAACTAATAAAATCAGTCGGATTAATAAATAAACATCCATCACTTCTAACATTTTAAAATCAAAATTGTAGTCAGTCTCATTATGGAAAGCAGCTAATCCATTTAACGCGCTGTTTTGTAAAAGATCCCTTTTGTGTTCATAGAATGTTTTATTTAATAATACAGGTAATAGCGTTAGCTTCTTTTATTAAATAATTATTTTATTGCTTTAAACGTAGTTGTGTTAGTTGTGACAAATTTTATGTTGAGTTTAGATAAATTCTTTTCAATGGTAGTTGCGATAGAGTTAATTGGTAGAACAATATATAATTTTGATTCGTTGGGTTTGTCAGGAAGAACCGCTTTTCTATTCCATCATTCTTGGCGCATCTTCTATTATCACGACGTGGGATATTTAAATAACAAAAAACGATGGAAACATAAATAGTTAAAAATATAAATGAAATCGGCGAGATTATATACACAAAATACATATTTTAAAAAAAGTTATTTCAAATTTAAAATCCTTAGCGAGTCTCGTTTGTGCGCATGCGTAGACGCATGAACATAAATATAAATTTAAACTGATTACGTCTTAAACTTTTTGTACTTTGTTATATTTCTTTGCCCTGAAATTGTTCTTGATATATTAAATAAATATATATCATTTCGCCCCCCCCCAACACACACGCACGCACGCACGCATATATATATATATATATATATATATATATATATATATAAAGTGAATATTGAAGTCGACACTCAGAGGCGACAGGCTGTTTCATGCTGGACGCGTCTAGCATGAAACAGCCTGTCGCCTCTAAATGTTGACTTCAATGTTCACTTTTATATTTATATTTACATACGTTCTATCTCTGACATTGAGCACTTTATCCCATAAATATAGCACACTTAAAACTATATATATATATATATATATATATATATATATATATATATATATGATAGATGATAGATAGATAGATAGATAGATAGATAGATAGATAGATAATATTAGTGGAAAATATACATACATATGCAAAATACAATATAAATATATATATATATATATATATATATATTATAATAAGTTAATAAAGAAAATGCCATTATTTTATAAACTTTAATATAATTTATACGACATTATTTATTTAATTCACTGTAAATATTTCTCGTTGTAAAGAGACTGCCATTTTCAACCAATCGTCTTCTACATACGACCTGCACAACCTTACCGAAATTCGAAACATATGTGAATTCTAATTCCAATAATTTCGTGTTTCAGATGAGAATTGAGGTATTTGTCCGAGAGTTACTGAGGCGTTCTCGATACAAGCCGCTGCCCATAATTTGATCAGATGACCAAACGCCATATTTTTTGAAGGGGTTCTTCAGCAATCTTCGTAATATTAAATATCGACAAAACTGAAATTAATAATTAGACGAAAATTATTGTCTTTATTCTACGATTTATTTAAAGTGTTATTCTTTTTTTTAAATCAGTTTTATCACTATTCTACAGACCTCTTTGTGCTCTTTAAAATTCAGCTCTTTTCATTATTTGACAAACTTTCCTGTCAGCAATCTGGATCGTTCGATTTTTATTCCCACGTTTTCGGCCTATGCGTGCTTTGGGCTTTCTTATTAATCATTTTTTTTTTTAATTTTGAGATGACTAGCTTTCTTTATGCGACGGGTTATTAGGCGTATAAATGGAAACTATATTGTGCTGTTTCTTTTTTCGCGATTTAGCTGTGTATCCGTCTTTGTCCCTTTATTTCCAATATTAAAACTTGAAAAAAAAAGCGCTTTTCACGCTTGTTAACAGATGATAACCGTTTTTCACTCGCGTACGATCGTCTCTCTCTTATAAATTATTACAAATCAAACCATTTTGATTTTTTTTTTCTGTCTTTGCAGCCAATTTCCGATCCGATGAGATTTCAAAGCGAATTTTCTAATCTTTTTCACCTTCATCCCACTGAAGAATTCCTAACGCCAAATTCAGGCTTCAGGTAAGAAGACCTAATTTCTTTCCATTTTTTTTTCTCTTAATCAAGATAGAAAATTTCCAGTTTTTTCTGCCTCTCAAGACAAATTGTATTCTGCACATGCGTAGACGTGTTCCAAAGGTCATTATTTTTTTGTTCTTTCTTTCGTTTTTGATTTTTTTTTTCCATTTGTTGAACAAGATCTTGAACAGAACCTCGCTGTCACGCCAATGGCTCTAACTAGGATTCTCTTATACTTGCAATCTCTTTCGCCTTCTTTCTGTTTGCGATAAGCTTTCAACCGCCATTTTTGCAATTTTATTAAGAAAACAAAACTGTCTATGAAAAACGCATGCATTCTTAAAGTAATTTTACTTTATTAGTCTGACATATTTTTTTGTTGCTAAAACATTGTTCAATGAAGAAAATGTTGTTTTGGCAAATGAGGAATATAATCCCTAGTAGCGATGACAGTGTCCTCCATTCTCTCTCTCTCTCTCTCTCTCTCTCTCTCTCTCTCTCTCTCTCTCTCTCTCCTTTAACTGCAATCAGCTTCATTGTTGTGTTTACTCTGCGCATTCATATCTTGTTTCGTTTTAAGTTATTCAAATAGCTGCAAAAGAATTTCCCTAAGTTGGATCATTTAAAACATCACATGGCAGCTTTTTGATTGATTGATTGATTCATTCATTCATTCATTCATTCATTCATTTTCTACGGCTCATCAACCGTTTGCAGGCTATTTAAAGCCAAAAAATATTTTTAGATTATAAACATTTTTTTAGATAATAATAGTTTACTTATACAAGTCTTACTAATTAACCCATAGTTGGGAGACAGGAGGTGGATTCCCACCTTATCCAAGGTGAATATAACGAACCTAATGTGAATTAGAACTCGGCTCTTCGATTAACAAATTCCGAGCCATTATCCGTTACATCACCCGTACATCCAGACTTACAGCACCTATCACCCATCTAGGTATTGACCACGCTCAACGTTGCTTAACTTTAGTGATCACTAGCATCATGCCCCGGCGTTGCCCGTGCTTGATTCAAAAATCGTACGACTCATACAGCAATCGCTATCACTAGACTTAAAATATTTTTGCCCTTCCTTGCCTTTAAAGGAGTGCCCTTTGCCGTGCTGATGTTGCTACATGCCTTACTTCTTGCCTATCTCACACTGCGAATTTTTTCTAAGCTCTATACTAAACATTAAATCTGTTACGAAAAAAGAACTAAACAAAATGAACACAAAACGATCAGCTTTAAAAAAGGACTCGTAACTGGAAAAACCGAATGAAAAAAGAATGTTAACAACAAATATTTTTTCACACCCAACCCAGTTCTGCGGAATCAGAATCAACGTTGAGTTTAAGCAAGCGAATGAGCCAATTGGAGTAAAGTGCCATGCAGATTTAAATTTTTCCCACTTGTGACGAATGCAGCTATCGATTTTTTTTTACATGCAGCATGCTAGTTAATATTCGTGTCAGTCAGCTGTTGGCTCTCACGCTGGGCAATAAAATCTTTCTGCCTATTTGTGGCAGCCAGCTATAGGCTCTCACTCTGGCCAGTAGAAAATATCGCAAACTACAAGAAAACTGCCGTAGAAGTATGAAAAAATCGATTATTTCCACTATCGATGGGAGTTGGGAAATGCAACATCAGTCTTGACCTTTCTGCTAACTTGGAGCATGTGCATGTAAAATTTGGTGCAAATCTGTCGAAAATTGCGACCGTGCATTCGTTACACACACAAACACAAACACACACACACACATTCCACCTTTTATAGATAGACATTTTATTGTCGTGGAACATGCAAAGAGCTTATTTAATCATTAAAAGAACAATTAAAATTAATCAAATGCACTTAAATAGGAAAACCATAAAATTTCCACGGATATTCTTAGTCAATATAATTCTATCCTATCCTTTTACTTTTTCTTTCATTCCTTATACTTTGAAGACCGCGATGAGGTAGGAAACAAACTACAGCCATTCTTTGTTGATTCCTATGTCTACACTGTCTATAAACGCTATTGATCAATCATCACCTTAAAATTTGAAACAATAATATATATATATATATATATATATATATATATATATATATATATATATGAAGAAATATAGTCTGAAGATGTGCTAGATTTATGGGATAAAGTGCTCAATATCAGAGACAGAGCGTGTGTAAATATAAAAGTGAACATAGAAGTCAACACTTAGAGACGACAGTCTGTTTCATGCTAGATGCAATTGTCAGGCCACTTACCCGTATATATATAAGTAGCCGAGAAAAATAACAGCACTCGTGGCCTGACGATTGCATCTATCATGAAACAGACTGTCGCCTATAAGTGTTGACTTCTATATTCACTTACATATATAAATATATATAATATATATATATATATATATATATATATATATGGTAAAATATAGTCTTACTATATGATAAAAATATAGTTTTAAGGTATGATATATTTATGGGTTAAGGTTCTCAGTATCAGGGATAGAGCATATATATATATATATATATATAAAAGTGCTAACTTGGAGCATGTGCATGTACATTTTGGTGCAAATCCGTCGAAAATTGCAGCCGTGCATTCGTTACACACACACACACATACATACATACATACACACACACACACACACACACACACACACACACACACACACACACTCACCTCCTGCCTTTTATAGATGCAGATACAGGAACTGTTGTTTCACAGTGATGTGTCCTTAACCCTGGCAGTTACATAACCTGATTTCTCGTTGATATAGTTACATATATCCAACGTGGTGTAATGGTTAGAAAGCTTGTCTTGCTAGGTCAGTTACGACCGAGTAGTAAGTTCAGTCCTTACTTGGTGCCCCATACTTTTGGACTTGTGCCACATCTAAGCCGCGCTTAGAAAATCATTATATCCAACTAGTGTGGCGTTTCGACCCCAAGTAAAAAAGATAAAATTCCCATTGCTGATTTTCAAAGCCTCCATGCCGGGTGGGAGTTTATCAATTCTCAATGTGTCTCTATCTTCGGGCAGAGTGTGTCAGTGGATAGTGATTTCCCAAGCGTAGCTGAGATGTGGCACAGTGGTGAGGATCGAACTCACTATTCAGTCGTAATTGTTCTAGCGGGACAAGCTTGCTAACTATTACACCGCCTTGAGATGCCCAATTGTGTCAGTGGATAGAGGCGCAACTCTCAAGGTTGCACCCTCTCATTGAACTAGAGAGGTAGGGAGGGTGCACGCCACCGAGGCTAGCGAAACCGACGTTTGTTTTTCGGAGAACTTTTGTCCTTGGCCCAGGTCTACGCGCCCGGGTTCCCTGTCTCGGTGGGGAGACGAGATAAACATCTACAAGAAGTTTGGCGCAACATAATCTTCTAAATTTTATTCGTTGATGGGGTTAGAAACTTTTTTTGAATGTAACTATAAATGTTCTTTTTATTTCCATTTCCATTAAAATATCCACGTTACTCACATGTTCAGTTCAAGGTATTCTCAGCATCCTTCTGTGGAGCCACGTTTAATGTTGATGTAACGCTAAAGAAATATTGGCGAACAAACATTTTTGGCGCACACAGACAAATACTTTAGGTACCTCGATAAAAACGCTGAAAAATGAGCACACCGTGATAAAAACATGCTCCAAAGGTAATCAAAACAGTTTTATCGTCAACATCTTTATGTTATTATTAAAAGGAAGGATCAAAGTCTGAATATTTAATTACATTTTTTACTCCTTTTTAGAAAATTCGAAATTTTGATTAAAAAAACATTTTTTTTTTCTCTTGCGCCAAAATTTTTTCAGCATAGAAAATTTTGGCCTCTTCTTTTCTTTCTTCGACAGAAACATTAATTTGGAAACTCTTGCAAAAATTAAATAATTGTCGGATTTTAATCAAATGAAATTATTTTTTTAATTTTTTTTATTAGAAAAAAGTTAGTTAAAACCAGAATTCTTTGAAGAATTTAAATCACCGAAAATCTTTTGGAAAATTGGACCCGGTCTTACCGAAAACATTTTCTGAATCGAAAAATAAAAAATACAATAAAACTAAGATATTATTTAATTTGACAAGTTTTAATTGATTTTATGAATAATATATATTAAAGACAATATTGTCTGAAGAAAAGAATGTTTCGATGAAAAATGATTTTTTACAAGATTTGTTTTCATTTTTACAATTTTAAATTGAATAATTTATAAAGATTTTAAATCTTTTAAAATTCATTTTCAGTGTGATAATTTCTAGAAAATATTGTTATTAAGTAAATCTATACATACTAATCATATTTGTAAAGCTTATTACAATCCCACGACCCTGAATATTTTTTAAAGAATTTCGATTTGTTTTTGTATGTGTGATTACATGAAGAATTTCTGAAGTATGAATGTACAAACCGATAAATCTATCATTAAAAGATCACATGTTTTAAGGGTTATCCGCCTTATAAAGTTTATAGTTTGCTCCACTATATTTAACTATGAAGACGTTCAGCTGTCAATCCGCTGTCAATAAATCGATTAACACAAGAACAAGACCCCGTAGTTAAAAAAAATGTTTGTCATTTTATGATATAAGTAATATTTGTTTCAAATCAGATTAATTAAACTTAAAATTTGCTAATTTTCTTCAAATAACGGTTCAGAAATATATATTATATTTTTGCGAGATTTTTAAATCCGAGAATTACATTTTGTTTACAGGTATGTCAAAAATGGCCTTTTGATCGATTTTAATGGAAAAAAAGTCCTTTCCGAAAAATATAATTAGTATTTGAAATACAACACAGAGGATTTTGCTTACTGAAAATAAGAAGTTTTAAATCCTTTAGCTTCAATTAAAACTAAAAAGAAAGCTTCAAGAAGGCTTTTTCATTTTTAAAAAATCATTTTAAACCTTACGTATACCGAATTAATTGAGGTAGCTACTTTAGTTACTTAGATATGAGAATTTAATTTTGTTTAGCATCATTTAAAACAACTCGTCTCTTTATCCATTATTGTGTAATTCTTATTAGGTATTCTAATTCTTGTGTTACCGTACTGTAGGAAACTTAGTAGATAATGGTACCTTGCTATAGAGTAATGATTAACAACCTAGTCTTGCAGAGAAGATCATTTTTACTAGAAATTCTAATATCACTGTAACCTTATACTTGACTGAGCTCAAGCTTCGTCAATTTTGACTGTTTTCTATGATTCGATTTGTGACTTTCCAAGTTGGTTGGTGCCTTTTCCCTTATCACATCGGGCGTAGATCCAAAATAATAAAAAGAAAAATTAAAATGTTAATCGTATGAAATCAATTTTTGTTTAAAAAAATACTTCTTTTTACATTAACAATAAAAATCTTGGCTGAGCATGGATCACTTTTAAACCTTGAAGCCAACAGATCACAAATTACTTTGCTGCAACTTTTCCGAGTTGTGTCGGATTTCAATCGAATTCTTAACAAAAAGATTTATTTGCCAAAATTCGAAAAAAAAAAAAATATTGACTTTCTTTCCTTTGTGTCTCTGCTTGGAACAAACAAGGATTTGTAAGAAAAAATAATCTTTTTGATTTCGTTGGTTTATTTAGCGGC